GTGTGTGTGTGTGAGATCAGCCGTACCTTGTCAATCATATCAGGTCGGTTGGTTGCAGCAAGAACCGTGACGTCTTTTAGCTGTTCGATTCCATCCATCTCTGTCAGCAGCTGAGCTAACACTCGATCAGCGACGCCTCCCGCGTGACCAGAACTGAACGACACAAACCCTTCAATCAGCACATTAGAAACCCAAGACAGGCACAGATACTGTCCCTAGCAATAGTTGCTAGGGCATGTTGCTAGGGTGCTTTGGATGGTTGCTAAGGTGTTGATATGTAGCTGCTAGAGTGTTGCTGAGCAGTTGCTATGGTGTTCTGGATGGTTGCTATGGTGTTAACAGACAGTTCCTAACAGGGCTCTGAACCACTTCAAGGAACGAAAAGTACTTTAGTATTTTAATTTTGCAATCAACCAATCACGAATTAAAATAGTACGGCCTATTCAAATGTAACGCTGACGCATACAACGAATGAAACGCTCGTGCTCAGCTGTCAAGTCATCACACACAACATATGTTTGATAACTTGAAATCGCAGCCTGGTAATTATCAAAATAAAATACAGATAAAGAAACATATAAAAAGTTACACTGCTCAATTTAAATAGTCCGTACTACAATCTGTGCCATTAAGCGTTATGTGAAGGATGATGATTTACGTCGATAATGCGAGTGAAGTACAAAGCCTATAGTTTACATAATAAATAATAGTTTAGCATCCAGATACATCGCGAATATGGAAACATTGGATTCGTGCCGAGTGAGAGAGGTAGGCTTCAGTTTCACTTTAAATTATTTAGCTTTGGCTTGTTTATATAGCCTAATACTGTTAACTTTAGAGGATTTGTTGTGGAGAGAAGGGAACTAAACTAGCCTAGCTGTGTTTATAATGTTTGTAAACATTTTGCTTTATTTACCGGTATTTTAGCCTACTTTATTTCTGAATGTAATAATAAAATGCGACGTATAGCCTACGCGACTTATCTTTTTTCCTCTCAAAACACAATTTTATACAAGTAGCGCTTTTTTTTTTAAACCATGCAGCAAACATTTTTAAATATCTTTAAAAAATTCTTTAATTTCTTTAGTGTTGACAATTTTTCCTTTCATTTAATACATTTGGCCAAAATCTTGTTATAAACGATGATGCTGTATTGGCTATGACAATGGCATGATACCAGACTAAGGATTTTTTTTTTTGAGTAAAGAAAACATTGTACTTATTATTATTGGCAAAAAAAAAGTAAAAAATAAATAACATTATTAACCGGTACTTTGTCTACTCAAACCGGTTTCGGAACAGTAATAATACAGAAGTAACGCATGAACAGAAATGTTAAAATACTGATTCTGCTCGGAGTGAACCGATTGAAATTGTATTTTTCGTTTTTAAGCCCTGGTTCCTAATGTGTTCTGGGGTGGTTGCTAGGGTGTTGCTAGGCAGCTGCTGGTGTGTTTGGATTCTGCAGTAGCTCTGTTGGGTTTTGCTGAATAAGGTTTCAGATGAACTGATTCTGTAGACAGATCAATGTGTGTGTGTGTGTGTGTGTGTGTGTTCGTGATTGATTAAAGGTAAACACATTCATCAGTAAATCAATGTGTCATTCAGAACTCAATCCAGTAAATGCATTTCTGACTCAGCAGAACAAACCAGCTTTAGATTCACACTGAAGTGTGTGTGTGTGTGTGTGTGTGTGTGTGATTCTTGTCAGAAGCTTGAAACACTAGCCACTTTATTAATTAAACAAGCAAAGAGCCAAACAAATAAAAACATATTTTACAACTCAGTGTTTCATATTTACACAGACAGTCGTGCTGGAGCTCAAACACTAGACATCAGCACATTCAGCAGTGTTAAGAAAGGTTGAGAATCCCGTCACATCAGCTGCGACTTGATACAGACAATGAGTCTCGTTTACTAACGCTGCATATTACACATTCATTCAACTTTTTACCAAATATTTAAAACAACAACTGCCTAGCAACTACACAGTAACACCCTAGCAACCACATAGCAACACCCTAGCAACTGCCCAGCAACCACACATCAACACACTGGCAACCACATAGCAACACCCTAGCAACTGCCTGGCAACCACACAGCAATACCAGGGCTCGCAACATTTCAAAATCGCTGGTAGCCCTTCAGGCAGACATTCTTCAGATTTTGGAAGCCCAAAATCAATTTAAGTAGCCCGAATAAAAATTAAAAAAAAAGACATTGGCTGAACTTCGCTGCGGACAAATCAGCATGATTAAAAACTAGTAGCATATAGGGATTTAACGATTCACTCAACTCACGATGCGATGCGATGCACTATACTGATTTCACAATACAATTTTCTCACAATTTTTCTTTTTAACAAAATTAGATTTAAGTCAAATTATAAATGAAAAGGTGTCCTTTTATTATTTCTCCAACAAAATGCTGCACATTTCTTTGTGAAATTGAAATATGTCAAATAATAAAACTAACTTGAAATTTTTAAACAAATCCCAAATCAAATAATTAAATA